AGTATAAATTGAAGAAGTTTGGATTAGAACTAATAGTTGTTCTGTGATTATTAGTATTTATGCCAGGGGAAAGCTGTTGAATTGAGGTTTGAGGTTATGTGGTATTTTTTAAATGCCTTCCATCATAAGACAACGAAACTTCTTTGTGCTTTTACTAATCTTATTTTAAAATGGTGAAGTATTTAAAAACAATTCCATCTACTTCTCATGAAGTTGAACAGAGGCAAATAAAAAACATAGAAAATATAATGATTCCTATTTATATTTAAAGTTTCGATGTACAGTATGTGGAAACTAGCTGCAGTGTGTTGTGTGTCATGAATTGTTGTCTACTGGAAGTATGAAGCCTTCTAAAATAATTTGTCATCTGGAAACATAACATCCAACTGGAAGGAACAAATTTTCTTCTTCTTCTTCTTTCTTTCAGTACAATCTCTCTGTACTTCAGAATCAACAGGTGAGCTTTACAAACTGGAGTAATTGTTGTGAAAAAACTCTTTATGCATCATACCAAGTTACTAGTCAAGACTAGGTAAGAAAGGAAAGCCATACACTATTGCTGAAGAGCTTATCCTACCCAGTGTGATTGATATGATATCTACTTTGTTAAGGGCTGAAGATGCAGGAAAATTGAAAACAAACCCTTTGTATGATACAGGAGCTAGGTGTATTTCTGCAATAACCGATAACATTCAGGAACAAATAAGTCAAAAAATGAAATAAGGCAATCAAGGTTGTAAATTTTATTTGAATTCATCCCATCCCCCTCAATTTTTACAATGTTGATTATTTGGCAAGCTGTGCAAAGATATTGTTTTTTTTTCCCACAAATGTCTCTTATTGGATGTCTCTTATTGAAGTGAGGTGGCATTCTTATGAGAAGGTTTTTAACAGATTGCTTGAACTTGGGTCAGAGATTGTGCTGGGATGCTGTTATTTTTGCAAACCCTTATTAACCAACTGCTGAATTTTTCATGTCACAAGAATGGTTTTTTAACTGACATCTTCACACATCTCAATCAATGAAAAATTGAGATACAAAGACGTGACAAAACTCTACTTTTTGTTCATGACAAAACCACTGCTTTTGTAAGAGAACTGAACGTTTCTGCATCTACAGTTGAAAATGGAAACTTTCCACTGACTTAGAAGTTTTGTTACTTCGTTTCTTGTATTCAAAATGACTAGACGTATCATTGTCAAAGCTTGTATCTTCTCACTTGAAATCACATTTTAGCCAGATTATTGATTACATTCCTTATTAAGAAAATATAGCTTTAAGACAGGTTCTAAATCCTTTCTGTGAGCAAGCTGTGGAAAAGATAGACTTCTGGTAACAATTTCATGACTAGCTGATTGAGTTGTTTGCTGACAAATGTTTACAAGTACAATTCAGCAGCAAGAATTGGAGAAGTTTTGGCTATAGGGAAGAAATGAATTCTGGATTTTAATCAGCAACTTCAAGAGTTGGTATTCCTTTTGCTACTTTGTACCTCTGCGAGCTTGGGTTTTCTGCAACAATAAACATAAAACCAACATCAAGAATTATGCATTTATGCAATTATGCAAGAATTATTATTATATGTCCTAATAGTTTTAAACCAGAGACCAAACTATAGTTCAAACGAAAGTGTTAGATTTCACAGTGAAGTTAATGATTTTTGCAAACAAATTAGATTTTCGTTATATATTTATGTATTATATTTATTTATAGCTTATTAAATTTATTTACTTACCAGCAAATAATCTTGACGTTTAAATTAGTTGTGCGACCCCCCATTCCACTGCCCGCGACCCCCTTTGGGTCGCGATTCACCGGTTGAGAAACGCTGTTATAGTAAATGCCAAGGACAGTAGCAGGGATCCTGGGGGTGTTTTGGGTGTCTAAGAGCGGGAGGGGCGCAGGGGAAATGTGGATGTGGACGTGTGAGTGAGGCGGGCGGTGGCCCTCGGCGCAGGACCCATCCGAGTTCCGGACGAGCGGCGGCGCGGGCGGGCTGGGCACCGCGGCGACGGGCGCGGGCGCGGGCGCCGGGGAGCCCGGCGTGCCGGGCGAGCGTGACCGCGACCGTGACCGCGACCGCGACCGCGTCGAAGTCATCAAGCTGCCGGCGCACTCGAGCAACGGGCTGGCGGCGAGTGTGGGCGGCGTAGCGGGCGTGGTGGGCCCGCCCGCCGCCCTCAGCATCCCGTCGTTCGCGGGCGGCGTGGGCGTCGGTGTGAGCGGGCGCGGCGGAGGCGGTGGCGGTGGTGGAGGAGGAGGAGGTGGTGGAGGTGGAGGTGCCGGCGGCGGCGCTGGCGCTGGCGGCGGCAGCAGCGCGAGCAGCGGGCCGGGTGGCGCGCCTAGCCCTCCCGGCCCGCTCAACTTCTCGACGACTGGCCCCGGCGCCGCCGCCGCCTCCGCCGCCGCCACCGCCGCCGCCTCCTCCTCCTCTTCCTCCTCCGCCCAGCCTGATGAGGACGCTCCGCTCAACCTGTCCATGAAGCCCTCCGCAGGTGAGTGTTCGCCGGACATGCTTCTCCACTATTCTTTTGACCTGCCCTGCCCTCCTCTTCTCCCCATCTCCATCTCCACCCATCTCCCCTCGTTTCTTTCCCATCCCCTGCGCTCTCCATCCCATCGCCTCCCTCCCCCTCCCTACCTTGCCCCACCATGCCCTGGACTAACCTGTTTGCCCTACCTGATGGGGG